CCGTGTGACTTCTTCCTCTTTCCAAAGATGAAAATTCAGCTAAAGGGAAGGCGATTTGAGACGATAGAAGAGATTCAGGGAGAATCGCAGATGGTGCTTGACAGGCTGACAAAGAAAGATTTCCAGGGATGCTTCCAGGCTTGGCAGCGGCGCTGGGATCGTTGTGTTCACTCCCAGGGGAACTACTTCGAGGGTGATGGATGAATTTAATACCTGAGATAAGTGTACGGGTTTTTATACGCGCAGTCTTGAAACTTTCCGATCGCACCTCCGAAGCTTCGGCGCTTGTTTGAGCATTTTGTCGCTGCATTCCAGGACCAACTCAGATTAAAACAACTACTTTAAGAGGGGCGTGGCCACAGAAATTTGTCCAACCTGTAGGTGCATTTCTATTCTGCTTTATAAAAAGTCGTGAGAGCGCTGACATAATATTTCATTACACAAAATTAAGAATGTCTGAAAGTTAATCGCGTACATAAGATGGTAACACCTTTTAAACATGAGTAAGACGAGAGAAGGCACAGAAAACTTCAAGTGTGACGTTGCTCACCTCACAAAAAAGCCATAAGCTGAATAAAACTTGAAAAAAATTGTAATAAATCAGCACATTCCTCAGTTCCATAGGTTTCTTATTCTCCATTATTCTAGGACCCAAAACTTTTACGAGATAGACATAGGTCAGACATATTGCTAACGTTGGGAGCGGACTGCTCATCAGAGGCCATTTGGCTGTCCTTGGATCTGCAACACAAGAAAGATATTACATGAAAACTGTGACATTGCTGCTCCGAATCTGTTAATAAATAAATACTTTTATTACCTTTAACAACTCTAGACACTAATAAAACACAGAAGATCTTAATTAGAGATTATAATGTGTATAAGTGAAAATACATCAAAAAGCAACTCCTACGCCTCCGTTAGTTTAAAAAGCGGTTCCTGGTTCTGACCGAGTTCAAAATTTGGTCCAAGAAAACCGGTACAAGGCCACGGAAGACACAAGTCAAACAAGATCCATTCGGATGATTCATAACATAAATAAAGCTAACATGTTTGAAGACATAAAAATTACAGTTACTTCTAAATCGACGCAATGAACACTGATGTTGTACCAGGCTTTAAAAATTCGTACGTAATTACGTCGTTCATCCAAGTCCAGAAGTTCAAAGTCGAATATTTGTGGAATCCAATTATCCTTTCGTCAGTTTTATAAGGTTAAAATGTATCGATGTAGTTCACTTTAAGGAAACGAGTGACGAACAGGTGCTGCCACTTAGTTTCTCCAAGTATCTGACCTTGGAAAGTTCAAAACTATCTGAAACTTCCACTTAAAGCCTCTCAAGGCCTGTGTACACACACGGATTTTCCTTACACGTACACTTTAAGGTTAAAATATGCGCACAAATCTCCAGTTCGTATGATACCTGCAGCTCCAGCATTCTTTAATTTATATTTCGTAACGTGAGCAGGGTTTTCCGGTTCCCGCTACAAACACGAATATGGTGATTGGAGAAGAAACTTCTAACGTCATGTTTCAGTTACGGCCCTGGTACAAGTGGATTTCCAAGGCCAATAATTTACATGAGGAAGAAGTCTGTGACCCTGCATGGATTCCGATGGACGTACATATTCATCTGTGTTTTCCGTCCATCACTAACTAACTACCTGGCTTAGGGAACTCGAAGGTTCATCACCGAATAAACCAAAGCCCTCCATCGGGCCAACAAAATCCAGTCTCCTTCGACTCCTATCTCCCACAGATCCCGCTTAATACTATCCTCCCATCTACGTCTAGGTCTCCCCAGCGGTCTCCTCCTCTCAGGCTCAAATGCACCCTAGAAGACTCTTTGTTCATGAAAATCCGCCATTCCGAAATCGCAGGAGGGTCGGTGTAATGCACTACCAAAACGCCCGTAATAAGAAACAAATGCTAATTCGATGATGCCGGCTGGCACACTGATTCACTATGAATGTCGGCCGCACCCCCTAAACGCAGAAGCTCGTACTACATCCGGTTCGCCCGCTATTGACACAGTCTTGAAACTTTACGATCGCACCTCGTAATTTTACGAAACAAGCAAAGGGTTAAACATTTAAATTTCCGTCCCACTAAAGCGCTGCTTGTAGCTAACGTAAGTTACTTACATTAACAGCAAGTATTTTCTGTACGAAAGCTGTTTTATCAGATCTACACTCCCTTTGGCAAGAAGCCGAGAATGGAAAACCGAATAACACTGCTTCGTACCTGAATTCAATTCAAACACTCGAGGAATGGCGACGAACACTTAACGATGTCAGTCTTCTGTCACCTTGATCCGTTTCGCGAAAGCGTACACACCAGCAAGAACATTCAGCCTCCGTTAATAGGCCAAGGTCTAATTGATACGAAAACTAAGATGGCTGTCGTCTGGGTTGACGACATTTCACATGTCCTTGTTCCCTCCCCGTCGCCCTGACGACTGAGCAACAAGCAGCTCTGAAACGTCAGTAGACTTTTACCAGAATACACGGCGCTTCAACCCAGAAGACAGCCATATTCCTCTAAAATGGTGTTTGAACAACTTTAACGATTATTATTCCGACAGATGGACGTACAGTCGCTACAAGCACAGAGGGATGAGCAGGAAAGGCAGCTAGCTGCATACACGGCCCAGAGCGTAGAGGAGCGCCATAAGCGGCAGTTCCTAGTATTACGTGAAATACTTTTAATACCAGAAAGTTCCTCCCGAAGACAGGAAGATGTGTTCTGGATAGCAAAACGGTACCAATGGAACTGCTTGGTAACCCTAACGATACAGTGAAAGAGTTAATTTTGAAACAAAATACTGGATATATAAACTGCTTGTGCGATAAATGCAAAATGAAGAAATCAAAATGATTAACCACCGTTTGATGTTTGTCTGTTTCCTGTGTTGACAATCGCAAATAGTCTGGGTCATTCGCGCGGACGTAAGAGTTTCTGCGAAAAATACCTTCCCAGTTTTACATTTAACCGTTGCACAAAGTTGTTTCCGTCGTATAAAATTACGTGCTCGATTATTTAATGCCGGAAGTTTGCCATTTTCCCCTCTCCAGAAAGGCCAATGTCATTCTGTGATTGTGTGTTAAATACTAACGCACATAGTTGTTTGTGACGGAAATATTTATCACAACTTCAAAGAGTTAATTTACGAACATTAAAAGCAATGTCAAATGAAATACAAGCATTTTCCATTGTTGATAAACGTCATAACAAAGTCATCACTTCTTAAAAATATCACTAGTCAGATGTCGCCAACAATGACTTCCAATTCGCACTGCTTCGAAGGGACTTCACGAGCTGTGGCCAATTATTACATATTCATAAATTAAGAATAAACGCTGTCCCAACTTGCACATAAAGCCAACGACCTTGGTTGGAGCGAAACACAAACAAGCTGTGTCTAGTTCTGTTTCGAATAAGGAAGAATTTCCAGAGTAGTGAAAGGAATCTACATAAAAAGGACGGGCGATAAATTTCACTAGTAATTACCTATGAATATCACCACGATCAGCTACACATACAAATTCATTCAACATTCTCCGGTCAAGGTTAACTGCATGCAGAGAAGGAACTGGACTTCGATGTAATCGATCGGCTACTGATCGAGTAATCGAACATTCGTCAGACACAGATACTCGAGAAAAAAGTTGACAGTGGAACCACGGTTCCGGAGAATTTGACGTAAATACGTCTATACGGAAAGGAAGTTTATATATTGGCTTTATTCTAAATATTTCCTTTATACAGGCTTTACATTTGAGTAAGGTTTGATGAAGACTTTGCTTAATCAACTTGAATTAGTTACGCTTAAGATGGGTCTGTGGTAGCTGAATGTAATGTAAGGTAAGGTTAGGTAAGGTAACTATGTAGGTAACCATTGTTGTTTATTTGTTGATAAACAGATGACGTTTCCAAGGTAACATAACAATGAAGTTACACTTTTTCGTTTCCCTTTTTCGTAACAATTTTTCGTAACACATTTTTGCCGAATAACACTGACCCTAAAATATAGACGTATTTACGTCAAAAAATAGAAAACAGAATTCGAGTAAAAGAAGTTTTTAAAGTTTAAATCTGAGGCATTTCACGTTTAAATGACGCGTGTGAAGAAACTGTTATATTCTGAGCGTTCCGCTGCAACATTTAATCACAAACGAATCAATATCGAGGCAACTGAAGCGTCGAAGTGGTTACACGAAGCCCTCGAGTCACATGTTACGTAATGCCTTCGATCTGTGACTTTCTCTTGAGTTAGAATGTTTCCTCTGCTCTCGGGCGCTGTCTGCAGTGGACTTAATTGCATTGTGGTGAAAATACTTTTTCTCCGATTGCTGCAAGTACTTGGATTAGTGGAAAGAACGCCTCCTTCAATATGACTTCCGATCTTGTGCCATAGACGACCTCAAACACTACTTAATTAGTGAGTTTTCAGGTTCAGATGCCTGTCTTGTGGGTTGTCGCGCCGTATAATATGGCATAAGTTTACCGACGTTTCGGAGGAGATTGTTGCCTCCATCATCAGGGCGATGATAGTGGCAGTAAGCACGTATGAGACGTCGGTAAATTTCTACCAGATTACCTACATATGTATATGAACTATACTTTGCTCGCTTTAATTAGTCAAATTATTTTATTTGTATACGGAATTCAATGAGTGTTGTGTAGTAACAAAAGTCTGTAAGTGGATGATGTACTGCCCCATCGCTGTGAAACATTACATTACATTACATTCAGCTACCACAGACCCATCTTAAGCGTAACTAATTCAAGTTAAATAAGCAAAGTCTTAATCAAACTTTACGCAATTGTAAAGCATGTATAAAGGAAATATTTAGAATAAAGCCGATATATAAACTTCCTTTCATTGTATTTATTGCCTAAATATAATTTAAATACAAAGACGTATTTACGTCAGATTCCCCGGAACCTTGGTTCCACTGACAACTTTTTAATCAGACGAAAACATTACTCGGAAGAATATTATGTATTTAATGACGTGAAATATCACTGTCTTTTCAACAGAGGTTATTTAAATTATCAAAATTAATCACTATTTAAATAAGTAAATATATTTTTCGCGAAGTTCCTAGAACCAGGCGATTGTACAGAAGTGAGGTCGCTTTGACTTTGGACAATGGATCCTTTTCATGTGGTTTGTTATCAGAGTTCAAAGCCGCGGAATATTTTATCTACCATAATATAATCGTCCGCGCATGTTCATGGCACCGATGTTTAAGTAAGCATAGAAATACGTGTTCAAGGAGTGGCAGCTAAGCACAGGGACTTCGCCTTAATTTCGCAATATATTTCGAAATTTAAAGAAATACCCGAATACGCTCGAACCAAATGCATTTCTCGTACAGAAAACACGTTCACATTCAAGAGAGACAAGGCAGTCACTCGAGACGAGACACCCTCAGTCATCAATCGCGAATAGGACGACTCTAGTACCAGCAGGTACTGGGTTCATGTCTTTGTACAGGGTACACCAGAAAATGTAATTCTTGAACTAAGCTCAGACGGAGAGAAGTTTTACATTTTCAAGCGACAGACGTCCGAAACTGCAGCTAATCTTCCGGAACTTGTACGTTATCGGACGACGAATACTTGTCATTAACCCTTTGAAGCCGAAGATCGTCTGAATATTATTTATGAATTCAGTCCGTACCGCGAAGAAAACACTACACCTCACCATTACGAAAATCAGCTGGTTAACCCTTTGAAGCCGAAGCTCGTCTTCATAATATTTACGAATCCAGACCGTACCGCGAAGAAAACACTTCACTTAACCATTAGAAGTCGAATCAGGCGGTACCACATAAGATTTAACAAAAGAACATCCCGGTCAAAGCCTTAAATACCGAGAGCAGATTTATAATAAAATTTTACACCGCGAAGTTTTACTAAAATTCGTCGAAGCATTTCAGTGTTGGTTAAAACCGGACAGCAGACACGACGAAGTCCTGCAAGCGTATTATATGACCCCGTCATTGGGGGTACAGAATCTGCAGGCTGACTTGGTTGCCATAGTTACCATAACACCTTGGCCACACGTAAAAATTCTGACGAACACCTCAAAGCTGTTACGCCAAGCGATGATTTCCTAACTTGTTCAATGGTCATGTTACGTGTTAAATACTGTCACTCCATACAATAACAGGACAACTGCATATTTTACAGGTTAATTTACTGAGACAGTGAGCGGTGGTCGTCGATGTCGTGCGTAGTTCGTGGCCTGCGGTCCTCTGAGAAAGAAACACTTTCATCTGATTTGTCACAATACATACAAATCTACGTACGTCCTGTACTTGAATACGTTGATTTAGTATCTGCTGTGGTAAAATTGTATTAGCCCATTTGAACTTCGTGTCTTAAGACCCAAAAATGCAGAACTTTAAAACTTAACAGAATGCAGACTCAAAGATCGCATCGAAGAGTGACCATAGTTTTAAAAAAAAGAAAGTCTTCTGCGTTCATTTTCCGCACAGCGCAGAAGCAGTTCCGCCTGTTTACAAGTCGATTTCCCACCAAGTTCAACAAATTTAAACAGCACAGAGACTAATATTCTCACCATTCGGGATGACGTGCATATTTGGAAAGAACTGGCACGTTCAAGGCCGCCATGCCCCATTGTACCTCGAATATTTATCATAATGTTCACTTGTAAGGTCACCAAGTCCTTCACCGATTCAATGATGACAAACAAGTTTATTTACATTCGGTTACATTTCTCAAATGTCACCTGCAATTCTTCTCATGTCACTTCCTGCGTCCAACACAAAGTATTTTGAAATCGTATATGATTCGCATACAATAGCCAGTTTTTGTAAGACTTGAGGTTCTCACAGCGGTGAGTATGAAGATTTCCGTCTTCTGGGTTGTTGCGCCCTGATGACGGAGGCAGTATGACCTCCGAAACGTTAGTTAACATCGACCAGACTACACAGCGCAACAACCCAGAAGACAGAAATCTTCATACTCTGATGACGGAGGCAGTATGACCTCTGAAACGTTGGTTAACATCGACCAGACTACACAGCGCAACAACCCAGAAGACAGAAATCTTCAGACTCATCGCCCTGATGACGGAGGCAGTATGACCTCTGAAAAGTCGGTTAACATCGACCAGACTACACAGCGCAACAACCCAGAAGACAGAAATCTTCAATAGCCAGTCTGTTCCGGGGAGTGGGGGGGAGGGGAGTTGCTTCAATGTAAATCGAACCCAAGACCTGTGGTTTCAGAGCGACAGCAATCCGGGTCACGCCATATGAACTGCACTACGAGAGTATCAGGAGTAATCAGGACTCGACGCCCTGGCGACGTGCGCCAAATTTCCACCTCTAAAACCGATGTACAGGGAAGTTTGTTCTGGAGGAGGTTAACTTCGGTTCGTCCCACTAAGCCTCGTACTTAGGTTAAATGTTGTTAGTTAACATTCACAAAACATTCACTTCCGTGATTCTTATGCTCCTGATTAACTGTGAATTAACACCCAGTTATCAAGTCCGTGTGCTTTTAGAGAAATGTTCTTCGGGGTCTGTTGGCTAGCAGAGCAGGTTTCAAATATTTCTTACCGACTGTAACGCCGTAATATGAATTTATACAATTAAACTGACTGTAGCTAAAACGATCAAAAATTAAAATTTACTTAATTTCTTGAACTCTTGAAGATAAAATCACGCGGTGGGGTAAAAAAAATGTTTAAATAATACGGGATATTCGACGATCAATCTACGCAAACTTCGATACTCTTGCTGGGAATTATATACGTATTATTCCATTGAAATTACTCGACCGAGTAGCCACCTCGATCTCCGGACCTGACGTCACGTGATTCGCGTAAATTTACGAACGTGAACCAAACTAGAGCATGTGCACCGAGGAAGAGTTTCAGAATCACACCGGATTAACCGGGGGTCCATCTGCTTTAAACGAAAATTAAAAAGTTGTCAGTGGAACCACGGTTCCGGAGAATTTGACGTAAATACGTCTATACGGAAAGGAAGTTTATATATTGGCTTTATTCTAAATATTTCCTTTATACAGGCTTTACAATTGAGTAAAGTTTGATTAAGACTTTGCTTAATCAACTTGAATTAGTTACGCTTAAGATGGGTCTGTGGTAGCTAAATGTAATGTAAGGTAAGGTTAGGTAAGGTAACTATGTAGGTAACCATTGTTGTTTATTTGTTGATAAACAGATGACGTTTCTAAGGTAACATAACAATGAAGTTACACTTTTTCGTTTCCCTTTTTCGTAACAATTTTTCGTAACACATTTTTGCCGAATAACACTGACCCTAAAATATAGACGTATTTACGTCAAAATTAATTCAGAAAATCCTTTCCAGAAGTTAGAACGGTTAAACAGGAAGGTATAAATACAATGCCGTACTATTTAACATATTAAGTTAAATATATATTAAATCTTGTCCGTCTAATCACAATAATTCTTATTAAATATTAAAATATTACAATAATTAACATTTAAAATATTTAAAATATTAAATGATGTTCTTTATCGAAATATTCTATTTACATTAGACCATCATTTTTCATGTTTCACGACATGTTTTCGTTCCTAAAAGAACCATCCTCAGGTGTATATAATTATATAAAGCTTCAAAACGATATTAATATTTTATATATTTTAAATGTTAATCATTGTAATATTTTAATATTTAATAAGAATTATTGTGATTAGACGGACAAGATTTAATATATATACTTATTATATCACAATATGACGCAACTTTACCATCATATTAAGATAAATAAGTAATCGCCCAAAGTTTACGATAACAGAACCCTGTTTTTAAATTCTATAAGAAATACTTTCTGATATTAATAAATCTTTAAAAAATTAAGTGGCGAGTGGCACAGGACAACATTACATTCGGCTAACAAGCCGACACTCACGCGAGGATGAAGCTACGGACTTGTTCATCTGACAGGCACGAATTACGAGTGGCCATTTTAAAATGTCCACCATTTTACTCTCACCTTAAGCAGATATCAATGCCTAACGGTTTAATTTTTTTTTTTAAAAAAAAGTACTTTAGAATCACCTACCGCCATTATTTTGCATCATCGTGTGGATATCGTCAAAGAATTTAATTATCTGTGCCATTCTGATGATCCTCCAACTTCTACAACTGCTTCAAATTAGTTCCCCCTTAAGCCGCCGCAACCTGTAACACACAAGACAAAAATATTACAATTAATAAAGATAATAAACTGGTAGACATTTTACCCGCTGGCAAAATGGAGCTGTGGGTTCTGTGCCTCGATATTAAATGAAGCTCCGTCCGTTTTATCCCCAGGTAAGCGTGCCCAGCGTCCAGAAATTGTCTGGACGCTGTTTTGTGAATTGTAAACTCCGCCGGATTAATTGCTATTAAAACAAATGTAAAATCTCCTTTTACATGAGATTTTTACTTCGCGTGACAAAATTATTCGCTGTAAGATATTAAAATCGCCAGGACCGCCACCTACCTGTTCCTTAGACGGCTCTCTGACGTCACAGGACGAAAGATTATTTCACTTGTTGAACAACAGGTGGAGAATGCCTACAAAATGTTTCGTCTGTGGTTTTTATGGCAACTATTTCCAAGTGTGTGGGCTAACTACACACGGATTCTCTTAGTAAACAATTTCACGCAGTTTGCACACAATCGAATGCATTACACAGCCACTTTCCCGGTGCTTGCTCTCACCTCTGGCACTATTTGAACACCGGTCGTCGCCGTCAAGTTTGTTACGTGTCTCCTGGTAACGACAGCTGACGTAAGACAGACTTAAAAGAACAAATGACGAACGCGAAGCGACGAAGAAGTGTCGATGGGGTGGTTAAGGACGTTCGAAAAGAAATGTCAGAAACGGAACCAGAGACAACCACAAAGTTAGTCGACTTCGAAGGAAGGAGACCGTCTTCCTATCCACCAATAACGATCGCCAAGGAGCTGGGAAACTACCGCGATCAACGTCAGCCCAGAACAAAGTGATGACGCAATAAGGGGAGGGAGAGTGGGAGGGGGGGGGATTCAAATAAAAAGCCTACAACAAAATGGCGGTAACCAACTGTTTCATATCATTTTCCTGTTCTTAGAAGTTAAGGCAACTTATGACGCCAGTGTCATGAATAAATTTTCTCTTGTTGGAGCCCGAAGGTTTCAGATGGAGTCGTCTGAGAGCAATCAGGCGTCGAGGCGTGAGAAATTTGTTTCCCGACGATCACGAACGCAGGAACGACTTTTTTAGATGCTTGTTTATAATGAAAAGGTAAAGAACTTGTGAACCTTCCTGTGCAGTGGACGCCGTCATGTGACGTTCTTACATTACCTTCCGAAAGCGCCAGCTTACGTCGTTCAATTTTCGTCTAGCGGTTAGAACGCTGGCCTTGTAATCCTGGGGGTCTCGGGTTCGATTCCCGGCGGTGCCCGAATTTATAACTTGTGTTGGGCAAGGCCGTGGTCTAGGCAACACGGAGTTTTCCTCCGTGGCATCCCAACAATTACTCCATTCACACACAGAAGAAGGCAATGGCAAACCACTTCTGGATCATCTGCCAGGAACGTAATATGAACAAGTCCCAGTCCGAGAAAAGGATGGAAGGATCCTGTTCATATGGACCTGTCGTCAGACAGAACACTAAATAATAATAAGATGATACTTGGAACAGTAATCCCTCGAAACCAAGAAAATATTTTATAAAAGTCAAAAGTTTCCTGAGTTTGAATCTAGGTGAGGGTGGTTCCCCTAGCTGATAAACTAAGCACGATAAAATAATGGCGCTTGAATATACACTGTCTGGTTCACTGAAGAAATTACAGGAACGAAGGTTACAAACACCACCGCACCGCATCGAAAATGAATCATTTTTCGGCAGCAGAAACCGCTCATGCGCACAGGGTCTTACTGTTCAAAGTATCTGATTGGTTCGGCGCGGGGTTACACGCGCCATATTTATGTCGGAACGGTACGATGGCTCTCGCGTAAGCGAAACAGAGGGAAATGGAAGCTGATATCGACTTCGTTTTACATTATTTAAAGTGCCAATCCG